GGATTTTCTTGAATGAATATTCCCCCAGTTCTTATGTTATTCTTTTTGTTGAAAGGATACTGGCTGACAATCATCTTTTCAATTCCTAAAATATTTAATTTTTGAAACTGAGAGAATGTTTTAAAAATTCTGTAAAGCTAATAACTTCGATTTTTTCAGGAGGCAAGTTAATGCTGAGACTGAGATTGTATTTGCCAATGGTTTATTTAACATAGGTCCACTGTGGGAATTTCACAAGCCAGTAGTATACAGGATAATGACTCTTGATAAGCCAATAAAGAAATACTCCAACTCAGTGACAAATTAATCACACTCTTGTTCAAGACAAGGGGAGATGAAAGGAATAAAGTCCAAATTTAGTTAAGATATACCTTTTTGGAATTGATACTTGGGAAGGACAGCTTAGCCAACCAGATCTAACGTCCAGCTGCCTGCACAAAAGTAAAAATCTCCTGTTGTTTGAGCATGTTGCTAGGGAAGGTCATTGTCCCTGTTGATGGGCAAGATGATCTTCTGGGCTGCTACACGGCTTTTGCCACTGCAGGTAAAAATAGCCTTTGCCTCAGCAGCATCTAATTGCCCCCAGGTCTTCGGAGAGCTCTGATAGTCCTTCCAAACTCACTATTTATAGTACAGATAATCCCCTTGCCATAGTTGCTTCTTTGAATGTTTTTATTGATAAGCAACTGAGCTCCTGAGTTCTTATCAGTGAAAACAGTTGAGATAACATCCTAGCACAGCTTACTTCGTTCTTATGTCAAAACAACCTTTTTTTAAACAACTTCTAAAACAATTTTTTTTGTCTTTGTCATAAACAGATGGATTAAAACAATTCACTTAGGTTGTAAACAAGTAGATTTGAAATCATATCAAACCAATACACAGCATAACTTCTCTACAATATCTTTATTTCCCAAGTTTTTAATTCCTGTGCTATGTCCACCTTAATTTAAAATGTATTTTTGTTGGTATTTTATATAGAGTATTTTCACTCTTTATATCCAGGGAGCAATTTTTTCAAGTTAAGTAGTCATTGACAGTTTTTTTTTTTCCTAAAGATTTTATTTATTTAGGGGCACCTGGGTGGCTCAGTTGTTAAGCATCTGCCTTCAGCTCAGGTCATGATCCCGGGGCCCTGGGATCGCCCCACATCGGGCTCCCTGCTCAGTGGGAAGCCTGCTTCTCCCTCTCCCACTCCCCCTGCTTGTGTTCCCTCTCACTGTGTCTCTTTCAAATAAATAAATAAAATATATATTTTTTAAAGATTTTTAAGATTTTTGACAGACAGTGAGATGGGGGGCCGATCCCAGGGCAAACACTTAACAACTGAGCCACCTAGGCACTCCACTAGTGACAGTTTTAAATTAAGGAAGTTTAATAGGACTATCAATCCTAGTTTTATAGTTAGTGGCTCAAAGTAATCTTGAAAAATACTGCTTTTTCGTTTTAAAATTTAATACCAAACAAGTCAACTGAATTATTAGTTTTATTATGTAGAGGAAGGAACTGAAAGATCAAGTTTGTGTTTTGCTTCTCGACTAACTCTGTTTTTGTGAAATTACTTAACCTTACCTCAGTTACTTCCATATTAATGGAAGATTAATAACGATTACTTTGAATAATGTATACTTTATATTCAGCATAATTTCTGATGCTTCACATTTAAATATGTACAATGCATTTTGTGAATCTGTGTTTTAAACAGTCAAGTAAACTTTTTACCATAAAAAAATAAATTTTGCACTGATCTATTAGAAAGTTAATTTAGGAGCTAGGACCAGCAATTGGTGTAGATTTTAATTAAAAGTAAAATGATGAACTGAAAATCGGAATTGGTAATTAACATCCTACTAGGTTTTATTATTTAAGTGATTTAGAACAAGTTACCTAACTTCTAGGCTTCCTAAATAATAATATTTCTTAAGTTTATTGAGGATGGGGACCATGAGTTAAAAAAATATTTTTTTTCTCAGTACTTCAGTACATTGTAGAGGCTTGGTGAGAAATTGTTGAATGAATATATTGTTCAGGATTTGCCGTTAACTCAGTATTTTGGTTGTCTCATCTTAAAATAATCATTTTTGCATGTATACTCTTTATTATTTGTATACTCTTTATAGAAAGACCTAGAAATAAAGCCCTTCATGACTGGAGATGGTAGTATTTTGATTTCACTTTTTTTGAAAAGTCACTATTACATAAGGTACTTCAACATTGTCTCTAATGAGACTAATAAGTTAATGAGAGCTTTGGCTTAAATGCTGGGCAGGAAAACAGAAGATGTAAATGGAAGGGAATGACAGGAAAGAAAATGCACATATTCTGGAGATAGAATATGTTACCAACATCTATGTTACTTAATAGTGGCATTTTGACAACTTCTGCCTATCTCTCACCTCCTCATTATTACAGAAATTTTCACTTAGAGAAAAGAGGAAAACCTCAAGAGGCTGCACGTGTAAAAAAAACAAACAAACAACAAAACAACAAGTTTTTTCATTTGTTGTCTGAGAGGAATAATAATGCATTTGAACATTTATTTCCCTATTACAAAGTGCTAAGTATAACATGCATCATTTCACTTAATTTTCAACCACACCAGTGAGGTGGATGCTATTGTTTCAGTTTCACAGATGGGAAAATAGATTCATGAAGGTTAATCTTCAATTACGTAGGTTGTGAGTGGCAGGTAAGGATTGCTGACTCAAGTGTTTTCTTTCTACTCTGTTGTAAGTGCTATATTTAGAAAAATAGCAACAGCAGATATAAGACTACGTTAAACAAATACAGCACCAATAAAACTATACTTTTAAGTAGTCTGGTAAAAAGAAACAGAGAAGGTGAAAGATAAAAGAGAGACAAAGGGCAAAGAACAGGAAAGAAGCACAGCATAATGGCAAAGAATATAGGCTCTGAACTGAGACTGCCTGGGTTTGACTTCTAACTCTCCCACTTACTTATTAACTTTGTAATCGGTTAACTTCTCTGTACCTTGTATCCTTGTTTATAAAATGAGGATAGTCATAGTAACTTAGAGTTGAAGAATAAAGGTAAAGCACTTGCCTTTAAATGTTAAAACCTATTTATTTCACTTTATGGCGTTTAGTGTGTGTGTGTGTGTTTGTGTGCGTGTGTGCGTGCATGCTTATGTGTGAATACAACATCCATTCAGAAAAGTGCATAAAACATATATATAATTATAAAGCAAATGGCCATATAACCAGAATCAAGTTGAAAAATACAATATTGCCATCACCATTTAAGGTCTTCTTCTGTCCCTTCCTATCAACCTCTTATTTTACCTGCCTAGAGCAGGGTTTTTCAACCTCAGAACTATTGACATTTTGGACTGAATAATTCTTTGTTGTAGGAGGCTGTCTTGTTCATTGTAGGATATTTAGCAGCATCCCTAGTTTCTACCCATTGGGTCTAATAGCACCTCCCCCAGTGATAAAAACCAATTGGGTGAGATCAAATGCCTGTCTTTATCTCTCTACAGCTCTACCTGCTATGTACAGAGTAGACAGTAAGGGCATAAGGGTAGAAGCAGGGAGCTCCATCAGAAAACTGTTGTAGAAATCTTGGTAACAAATTATGGTGGCCAGACCCTGAATATACTTGAAGAGAAAACCAACACGATTTTCCTAATGGATTGAATGTACACTAAGAAAAAGAAGTCATTAATACTTCTAAGGATTTGGGCCTGAATAACTAGAAGGAAGGAGATGCTAGCAATTGAAATCAGGAAAACAATGGGTAGGGTATTTTTTTGGGAAAAAATTAAAAGTTCAGTTTTGGATGTTAGTTGTCTGTTATATCCAAATAAAGATGTTAAGAAGAATATATACATATGTCAAATCATTATATTGTTCATCTAAAAGTAATACAATGTTATATATCAATTGTATTAATAAAAAAAAAAGATGGAGGCACCTGGGTAGCTTAGTTGGTTGAGCGTCTGACTCTTGATTTCGGCTCAGGTCATGATATCAGGGCCATGATATTGAGCCCCGCATTGGGCTCTGGGCTCAGCAGGGAGTTTGCTTGGAATTCTCTCCCTCCCTCCCCCAGTCCCCCTGCTCGCATGCTCTCTCTCTTTAAATAAATAAATAAAATCTTAAAAAAAAAAAAAAGATGTTAAGTAGGCAGTTGGTTATGCAAGTGTGAAATGCAGGAGAGAAATTTTGGCTAGAAATGTTACTATGGAAGTTGTCATTGTCTAGATCAGTAGAACTTTCTATAATGATGGAAATGTTTTATATCTATACTGTGCCATATGAAGCGCAGTTTGTGGTATTGAACACTTCCTCCTCCACAGATGCATGCACGTGTACACACACACACACTGCCTATGGGCATTGTCAGGAAATCTCGTTTGTAGTTCCCTCGTGAGGGAATGCGGCACTTCTACTGCTTGTTAATTCCCAATCTAATGGTAAAGATCTTTGTACTCCCAGCTATGTTATTGGAGAAGGGAAAGGGGATGATTTCTTATTACATCATTCCTTACTTTGGGTGAATCCCAGGTTTTATCTTCTATTTTCCTAGTACTTCACAAGGCCTTGAAAACTTCAGTCCCATTTTCTCCTGGTACAGCAAATACTCTCTGGGCAGAAGCAATTTCTTGAGCTATTTACCTCACTAGGTTCCTTACCTGCACCTACCAATCGCCTGACTATCATCATTTTTGATGCGTTTCAAAAGACATTTTCTGATTTTATCTAATTTTTTTCTATAGGAAAATAGGTCCAAATAGCCTAATCTGTTTTATTACTAGAAACAGATTGCCCTACTTATTTTTTAGTAAGCTGAAAAATAAACAGTAATTCCAATTCAGTTTAGCTAATTTCTGATAAAAGATTTAGGCATATACCTCATTAAGATATCATCAGCAAATTCCTATATTTTTCTAATATCTTATGCATGCAATGTATTACTTGTTAGTAGTAAAATAATTTTTAATTAAGTTTTATATTTTTTATACTTTCTGATTTATATAGGACTGACTTCATCAGTGTTTAGAGGCTAAGAAAAGTGGCAGATATGGATAGTGATTCTAGGCATCTTCTCATCCCTGAGGTAGATCATGAAATAATAAATCCTGGACCTATGAATATCCAGTTTGATTCATCAGATCTAAGATCCAAAAGGTAAGTGATTAAAATAAAACATTTATTTCATAACTAGGGTTTTTTGATTATTAGACTAGGACTATGTAACCAAATATATGTAGTTTTGAACATAAAATATCCAGTTACTTAACAGCATCTGTATGTTTGTATGTGGAAGGGAAAAAATATGAATACTCTTTCGTTCTTTATATTTGACTTTTTTGACTAAGGTCACCATTTGTGTTGTGAAAGGGGTTGGGTTAAATTTTCAAAGTAAGATGCATTTATGTAATTCATTTAACAAATATATATTGATTACCTGCTTTGTGCAAGGTAATATGCTAAGTACTGGGGAATAAAACAGTAAAATTAATACATAATCCTTACCTTCACTGAGCTTAAATTCCAGCAAATAGTTTAAAATTCATTTCATTGCATACCTGGAAAACCCCAAAGAATCCACTGAAAAATAATAGAGAATTCAGTAAAGTGGCTATTTACAAAATAAACAAAAATAATAGTATTCCAGTAAGAAAGTGTAATGGAACAAAAGAAAAAATAAGAGTAGTCTTAACAGTGTGCAAAATCTACATGAGAGAAACTTCAGAATAAGATTTAGAGTATTTTTTCATATTTGAGATGCTGATTGTGAGTTGAACTGTTCTTCTTTTTGTAGTATAACACACAAAGATAAACTGCTACCAGTATACCTGATGCAATAATCTCTTAGGACGTAGAGATTTTTTTTTTTTTTAATTTACTGAAAGAACTCTTGAGCTTATTTGGTATTTTATCATGTATTTCTTATGCAATTATAAAAATGAAAACAAAATATTTCAGTTAAGATATTACTAATACTTTACATTTAGAATATGATTCTTTGCAATCAGTTTTCTGACTTGGTGTCATCAAAATTGTTTTTTTTCCCCTTCCCACACCCAATGGTCCTTTGTATCATTAAGAATGTTAATAATGTAGTATTTGTTAAAAGAATTTTCTTTCAAATCACTGACACTTTCTTTAGTTTGGATGCTTGCACTTTCCTGATTTTACCAGAAGGTGTCATAGAAGGTTTTCTGACAATAATATGGCTCATATTTCTTCTCCAATGGTTCTTAAATGGTTTGATGACTGAAATGACCAGGAATTACAATTACCTGTCATACCACCAGGAATAATTACTTTTATGACAGCTGCCTGGCGGACAGTGATTAAAAGATATCCTGGATTATGCGGATGCGTCCATATTTTAGAAGTGTATATATTAGAATTGGTAAAATATGACATTTAATGAAAAGGCATATTTTGCAGTCAGTGGAAGGACTCTAAAATAGTCTTATGCTCTTTAAATTTTAGTCCATAAATTTAATGTCTCCCCCCACCCCCAGAAATGTCAGCAGCCAGTTCCAAAGTTTATATGGCCCAGCAGTTTCACTTCTTTTTTTTTTTTTTAAAGATTTTATTTATTTATATGAGAGACAGAGAGCATGAGAGGGAGGAGGGTCAGAGGGAGAAGCAGACTCCCCGCTGAGCAGGGAGCCCGATGCGGGACTCGATCCTGGGACTCCAGGATCATGACCTGAGCCGAAGGCAGTCGCTTAACCAACTGAGCCACCCAGGCGCCCCACCAGCAGTTTCACTTCTAAGCATTAACTCACAATGTCAAATACTATATGTACAAGGTTGTTTAATGCAGTATTTTTTTTATAATAGTAAAAGATTTAAAACAACCAGAATGTCTTTTCTTACAGGACTGGGTAAATAAATTTTGGCCCATTGATACAATGGAATATTTTTCACCCATTAAAAAGAAGGAAGTGGCTTTATTACATATCAAAATGAAACAAGTCTTCAACTTGTTAAATCAAAAAAAGTGCAGAACAGTGTATATAGTGTACCATCATTTGGGTAAAAATAAATAAACTGTGTATAATACAATATGTATAAATGATTCTGGAATAATAAGTAGTAAATTTAAGAGTGGTTGCCTCCTTAGGGAGAAAGAGTGCTTGAGGTGGGAAGTGTGGCAGATGCTGTCTGTTCCTTGCCCACAGAATCTTAATTTTGTCAACAGTGGGAATAGGTTCCAATCTAGGAGATAAAGGAAGATTGATTTAAGCTAGTCTTCATAATCCTATTTCCGTTTTCCAGATACTTAATTTTTTAGTCTTTCTTGAAGCTAGAGATGGCAGTGTGAAATTTATCATATAAGAAATGTATCATTATCATTTACATAGTGACCATCACAAAAGATAATGAAATGAATCTTAAAATTTTCACTGTGTATTCCAACATCAAGTGAATACAAGAACTTATGAATGCTGATTGAATGCTCAGGATTTTCTTGAAACCTCTGAATTCTATGATAAATAATTGACCACTGTGACAATAGAATATAGGTCATTAAAGTGCATTCCATTGCAATAAGTTGGCAGGAGTTCAGGCAGTGCTCTGAGAATCTGTTTAACCATGTAGATTAAATGGAAATATATTTTCTGTAATGAAATTTGTCAAAATGAGAAGGGATCAACTATTGACAATCATGGGATAACTACCTCGGTGAGCATGTTTTAAGGAAGGCAAATATTTATAGGCACTTTGCAGTATTGAATGCTAATTTTCTTGTGAATTAATTCTGCTTAAGAAAACAGGAACTATTATTTGATGAGGAAAAAAAGTAGGAGTACCTAAAAACATTGTTAATTCTATTAAAAGATGGGTTACTTCACTTTGTATGCATAAAAAAAACCTCAGACACACTGAGGAAAGTTATCTTCATTAGAAGAACCAGCTTAGACAACTCTTTCTAAGACATAGATCATTTTGGAGTCACCAAATAACTTTGGTATTGTCCCATTACAATTTTACCTGTGTAATATTATAATTTAGATATATTTTAAAATCTGTTCTTAAAATTAGGCTTAATTTAGACTCATCTTCATAGGTTTGTGAAATGATGAGTTTCATCATTATTCTAATATGCATTATGATAAATATCAAGTAGTTAAGATAGCATTAGTCCTTGTGCTACCTAAAAATCATCTTACATGTAACCACACTTTGGGAAACGGTGTTCGGCCATCAGAGTATAGAAAACAACATTTGATACTAATTTTAGCTTGCTTTTCCTCAGTTTAGCTTGTGATTAATTTTATCTCTTCCACTAGGTGGCAATCAAAATCATGTATCAGTTCAAATGTAACAATTTTAAGAACTCCTTTGAACTGACAGTGTGATGGATCTGCTTATCACATTGGTGGAACTGGGGTCTAATTAGACTCATGGAGGATGAAGCTTGTCGCTGTAGAATAGGAATACATGTCATAACCATCTGGATCATTTAAGGAACTTCTGCCAACTCTACACGTACACTTTTCTCTCTACACACCTCTCTTCCCCCTCAGTTTTTCATCTGGCTTGGGGTGGAGTTAAGAATGTGGGTGGAGGGACAGGAAGGTTTAGAAATCTCCTATGTTGTATGTGATATATTCCATTGGCAATCACCGGTCTGAGAGATTGTTTGCCTGCTTTTCCCAGACTTTCTGGTAACCAAAGATAGAGCTGGTATTCAGGGTTGCTTCATGCTGTGCTGCTTCTCTGGGATTATGCCCCTTGGGCGTTGAACATTCCAGCTGGCCTGAAACCAGACTGTGAGGTGGTTAATTTCTTCTTGAGCTCCCCCTTTTCAGTTTTCTTCTACCAACATTTCCTTTTCCATTTTTCCTAGGGTCTAGGGTTTTCATGCTCCTTTCGTATCCACAGTGTTCCCCAGGGCAATAATTCACCCAGCAGTTTTCTCTTAGGCAATGCTTGGTAAATCATACTTTTCCTCACCCCTTTTTCACTAGTACTTATCTGCCCTATCCTTGTAGGGATCTGTTGTCTGTTTGGTGTTTTAATGGGAAACAGTCTGAGGTGTCAGAGACCTAGTCTATTACCTTTTCCATGGCTATTTGTATTTTAATGTGGAGAATCCTAGAAATATAAAAGCCTAACCTAAAATTTAGATTTTTTTTTTTTTTTTTTTTGTAATTGACAACATTGCAAGAAGTCTGGTAAGCCAGTGGGACAGAGGTAGATATTGAAAATAAGCAGCATTCCTGGTGCCTTCAAACACACTATGCTATGGCCCCTGGTTTCTTAGAATGTCTACTAGTCTGCACATATGTAAGTTGGCCTCTTTCTGTTTCATCTGGCAATAATACTATCCCTGATTAGCAGCCTGAATTGACTCTTTTGGGTATGTGTGGTTCTGGGAGAGAGAAGGAATAACAAAGCAAAGTGAAGAGTGTATTAATTTATAAGGGTAGATCTGGGCCCAATAATAATGACTGGAAGTGGTTACTAAGGCTTGGTAGTTCCATAGTTAGGGATTATGGAGATGTATAGCAAGAGATTTAAGAGTGGTTTTCCCGGGACTGTTGGTTTCCAGAGCTGCATAAATTACATTTTGAGGAATGTGCCATCCATGTTAAGTAGATGGGACTAGGGTCTTGACTGTATATCAGTGACATGGAACGGATGGCCCACTTGCTGATTGCAGCACTCCTTCTATATCCTCCCTCTCTTCCTTGTTTTTCCTCCTATTCTCTTCCGTCTCCTGTCCACTTTTCTTACCCTTCTTCTCCCCGTGTTTCACTCCCCATATTACTTTCCACAATGGAACCCTTTTTTGCTAAATGCTTACATACATGTTTATGAGTCTATGTGCATTTGGAAATGCATCAAAATATGAAATGATTTTTTTGTAATAGATGATTTTCATTTTCCTCTATAACTTATATATTATCTTCAGTATAAACAGTGTACTACTTTTATAATGAGAACCAAGTTATCCAGAAAATATAGCATTCAGGGGCGCCTGGGTAGCTCAGTCAGTTAAGTGTCTGCCTTCAGCTCAGGTCATGATCCCGGGGTCCTGGAATTGAGCCCCGCATCGGGCTCCCTGCTCAGTGAGGATTCTGCTTCTCCCTCTGCCCCTCCCCCTGCTCATGCACACATGTTCTCTCTCTCTCAAATAAATAAATACAATCTTAAAA